CGGAAGAGGATAGAAAGCTCCTCTCAGAGGCATTGGCTCACTATGTATCTTTTGGACTGAGTATTATCTTCTTCCTAGAAAAGCAGCACATCCCATGAGACACTTAAAAGTAAACTAAGGGACAGAATGGAAACAGTCAGGTTGAGCAGTCAAAATAAGGTGGAGTCAACCCATTTTATTCTTAAACTCTGTCATTATCTTGATGTTAGATCACAGAGGTGTGCACGTGTGTATGTACACAAACATATACACAACTGCTGGCTAACTTAATAGTATACAGATCATATAAGCAGTTCTGGGTTCCCACATACATACATGCATGGAACCTAGAAATGCAATCATGATCCACATACCACTAATTTAGGCAGCAGTTCTGTTTCTTGGTAGCTGGACAGTAAATTATAGTTTAAAAAAAAAAAAAAAGTCTAATTTGCAAGAGAAAAGCTGCCAACACTATGTTTAGCTGAACAGTGTTTTCCACCTGGTTCAGGAGCACACCTCATCCTATTCTAGGATAAGTCCTTAATAAGAGCTCTCAGTCAGTTCAGTGACATGCTGAAGGTAAAAGCCTGGAGTAAAACAAATGAAAACAGTACTCTAAGCAATTTGTAGTCAGGCAACAAGCTACACTGTGAGTCTTACTAGGCAAGCACACAGTTATAGAGATATCAAATGGGAAACATGCAACCAGTCTCAAGGGTTTTCTCTGGGACACACTGCGTGTTACAGATGTCCCGAGCCATATTAGATTTTGTGTTTGATCTAAGGGAATGTCTTTTTTGGACTGGACACAGATACACACCACACCACAAAAATTCAGGGGTTATTAGGGATGCGCAGGTAGGACTGCAAGACTTGCACAAGAGGCTGTTTCCAACAGGTGAGAAGATCCTGATGCTCTTCCCTGAAAATCTGCAAAGATACATGCACACAGCTTTTTCACACTCACTACAACTTTGTGTTTAAAGCTATATGCACTGCATGCTGTATTTCGAGGGGAAACATGCATTACTCTCCAATTTTCAGTCACTCAACTTTCTGCTTCTTAAATCTGTTTCCCAGTTCATGCAAATGACAGATGTTATCCAAATGCTTCCAACCACATTTGCCTACTGTTTTCGATACAATATTTCTGCAATGAGAGGATTAACTTTTCACTGCTTCTCACCAATGCTTTAAAAGACCTGGATGCATACCTGAACCCATCTTAAAAGACAGATATAAGCTTCTTCAGAGTCTGGACGAGTGCCACTTGGAATTAACCACCATCAGGCAATTAGGAGTTGGAATCCTATGATTAACGCCCCTTCATTTTTGCCCATGTTAGTTGAACCTACTGCTTTTCGAGTGCAAATGATCAATGATAAGTTCTCTGTTTGCTCCAGTGACTGACCTCTTCCTACAGTATGAAGGTACTAATCAAGCACCTGTCCTGTTGCAATAAGAGCAAAAATACAAGAGTCAGATTCTGAAGCACAGGGAAAAGCAGGAGTCCTAGAAAGCAAAACAAGGGGCAAAAGTGTCTGGTGAGTGCAAGGACTTCTTTTACTTGCATCCAGGGGAACCTGCAGGAATAATTCAGTATCTAAAGCCACAGAACAACCATCCTATGCCTCTGCTCTAAGCAAAGACTTCCCCTGGATATCTCCCAATAAATTTCTCCCATTTGAAGTTATAGAACATCATCACATCCAAGAGGTAGCATAGAAAAAGAAACACACAGTAAAAAATGGGGAGAACTGAACCAAAGGGAACTCAGCATTCCTTTCCCCACAAGGTTAATTCTAATGACATCTCTATGCCCCTTGTTTCTGTATTATACCAGATGGAATCTGAATGGCCTTCAAAGACAGCAGGCAAAAGCTTTACCCAAACAGAAGGCAATTTTGTTTTGTAAACAGGGAAAGGAGGCTTCCTCCAACGCTGCACAAGTTTATGCAGCCATGTGCAACTATAATACAGGATTCTCACTGTCACACTATCACTGTCACTCTTTTCTTCAATCCTAAAGCCTGTTATAGCAGTTCTCAAAAACTGTCCAGCAAAAAAACTTGCACAATTGCCTTTGGCTGTAAGAGACTGCTAAGAAAATAAAAGTGTTTTTTTAAAAAGAAAACCAAAAAACTAACACTTATGAATTTAGGACAAAAGACCTATGGAATAATGATGGTATTCTGTTGTTTGTGTGGTCTTCTAACAAGTCCACCG